ATCTGAGGCACTTGTTCATGCAACTCCTTTTGCCTTTAAGCCTTGCTCAAGTCCAATCATGTATACGTACCTTTTCCACCGATAAGGGAATGCTGCTGTGAATGCTCATCTTTATGGCTTTGTGGCCAAAGAACACCCTGTTTATGATGGGCAGCTCAGGTCATCGGTAACATGGTGATTCACAGTCAAACATTCAATCTCTAGTAGCATCCAATAAATGCTGGAAGCTATCAAAAGGAAACTAGTTATCTGAAGAGAAAGGCATAGTTTGATCTGTAACCCTAAGGGTTTACTCTGATTCATCTTCAGAGGCTACCAAGGGCTCTACACAGTGTCTGTGGCTCCATATGGTACCAGACACTTCAAGCACCATTGGATGTGACAGTCAGTATGGCCCAAGGGGCGGATAAGTTGGTACAGCAGCCTATACTTTTTTTGCAGAGACTTCTCTTGTTCTGGATCCTGCTCAAAGCTGGAAGACTTTTGACTTTTCTGACAAATTAGTGAGAGCAGCATGCCCAAATGAAGAACATGTTATTTTTGAAATCCAAAGAGGCCCACTAAGCATTGTACCTCTTCCTTACTGGTAGGAGAAGCCAAAGGCAGCAACTTGTCTTTCATCTGAGCAGAGATGTTTTGTCATGTTCCCCAGTCACCAGGCTCCTGGAAAATTTACCAGGGTGGCAAGCTCCCTAATTTCTGTAGGATTTATTTCACACCATCCTGCATGCATGGGTCTTACCAAAGTGTCTAGAATACTCGCTAATTCCCACTCACCAGGTCCATCCAGCACGATGACAAAGCCCTGAGGAAGGAGAGTGAAGGTGTATGGCTGGCCCTACCAGTTGAAAGTAAAATGCTTCTGGTGATCTTTACTAACAGGTGTAAAGAAACGACATTTGCCAGGCCAATAGCTGAATAACAGGTGCAAGGGATGTCTTTGCTTCACTAGAGAAATCATGTCTGGAATAGAAGCTGAAATTGAGTCAGCCTAATTAAGTTTATGACAATCCACTGTTATTCCCCCAAATCCATCTGTATGCCACACAGGACAAACAGGTGAGTTGAAAGAGGATAATCACCATTCCTACATCCTTCAAGTTCTGACGGTGATGTTCATCTCTGCAATCTCTCCAGGAACGATATTGCTTTGGGCTTACCATTTTGGTAGGTACAGGCCATTCTAGAGGCTTCTTCTTGACGTATCCCACCATTATAGCCCTCATTGCATGTGTTAGTGAACCAATATGGGGTGGAAATGGAAGCGGTTCTTCTCATACCTATCTCTAATGATTCATTAGCAAAATGCTACTTCTCGCTCCTAAAGCCTTGGGCACCGCTGGTTTAGAGGTATTCATTCCCAAGACAAGAATGTCTCCAGCAGGGGACACCAAAATGATTCCATTAAAATGGAAGTAGAGACTGCCACCTGGCTACTTTGAGTTCGGTTTTCAGAAATCTCAACCCTGCAGCTACAGGAAATACAGGTTTATTTTAAGGCAATCACAGAACAATCCTGCTCCCTTACCTATGTCTTGAGTTGGGAATTTAAAGCCCTGAGCTCATAGTTTTCTTTCACCACGTTCTTGAGTGCACTTGGAAGCAGCCGACTAACCCTATTGTATTCTTTATCTCCATTATATTGTTCAGTGGTAGCAACTACTTGGTCACCCAGAGCCTTACCTTCTATAGGTATTTGATTCCAGGTGAGTTTAGGTGACAATTAATGTACCTGTCTTGCCACTGTGTGCCATAGTCACGTGTCACCTTTACCCTTGGCAATAGGGTCATTAATGCCTTTAAATCTAACCGTATTAACTCAAGATTCCTATCCTTAAGGTTCTATTCCTCCGGAATCATTTCTACTACCTGTAATGTATTTGAGATTGATTTGATAATGACACTAATAGTGTTAACCAGGGTTCGATCAGGAAAGGAGAAACAGTAGCAGTATTGTGTAATAAGGGATTTATTAGAGGAATAAGGCCTTCTACATTTTTGGAGAAACTGGGGAAATATGCAGCTGAATGGAGAAGCTGGAGGATCAGAGAAAAGATACTAATCAGCCTTCTGAAATCAGGCATGTCCAGTTGTTAGAGCAGGATCTAGAGAGTTGGTGGAGTTTACATGGAAGGCTGTTGCCTCTGTATCTGGAGGTTGGCCTGGGGTTGCTGTTGGTCAGAAGGGCTGAGATTTGCTAAGAAAAGCTTGATATGAGGTCACCTGGGTGGCTCATTCAGTTAAGCATCCAACTCTTGATCTCAGCTCAGGTCTTGATCTCGGGGTCATGAGTTCAAGCCCCGCTTTGGGCCCCACGCTGAGCATGGAGCCTACTTTAAAAAAAAAGAGAGAAAGAAAAAGGAAAAGTTTGATGGGGAGTGAGGGAAAGTGCGTATATAGCCTGGGACCTGCTGGCACCTCTAACCATGACAACCTTCAGAGAATAATTGCCACTGATGTACTTCTCTGCCTTCTAACTTCAGCACTCTAAGGAAGAGAATTCTGGGAAATACAGTTTCAGCTTACCCAAATCAACACAGTACAAAACCACCACATGCCATGTATTAGCTGCCTGATAGTGAGCAAACTGTTTCATGTCTATGAGTTTCTCTAAGTCTCTTTTCCATCTCAGGATTTGGGCATTGTCTTCTGCAACACTGTCACCAGTTTTCTGGAAGATGCCCTGTTGCTGGTATGTCCCACTTATGGGCACTACCTTCTCCCACTGGCCATCTAGGACTCCCTCTCAGCCCCAGGACTTGTGGCAGTCTTTGCCAGTTGGGGCTACTTCTCCCTTCCAGGCAGCCTTCTTGGGCAGTCCACACAGGCCCTCAGAAAACAGGCAAACATCTGTGCTCCACTAAAATCTGGATGTGCAGCTTGCTCCCAAGAGAGTTCTCTGGGCTCACTATCCAGGCCAGGAAACCGTAGCCACTGGCTTCCAGATCATTTTCAGGCCTGAGTCCCTCTGTGCCCCACTGTCCAATCGATTCAAGTCAAGCTCTTGGAGTTCTTTTCTGCAATCCCCCTAAGTAGGGTATAGTAAGAAAGAATCAACACCTAACCTTCCCCTTGGCTGGGGGAGGGAGGAGTGGCAACCTTCTCCAGACAGATTTTCACTACCACCTGTTTTTCCACTTGAACTCTCTTATACAGTCTGGACGTGGGTAATGGACTATTGATCACCCCTTTTCCAAATCTGCAGAAATAGTCCACCATCTTGATTTAGAATGTGGTGGTAGTGGAGAACAGTTGATACCTGTCTTTCTTTCCCTGACCTTTGGGCCCTCTGCCCAAATTTTGAGATGGGAAATGTTCCATTTAACATACTGTTACCTATAGAAAGAGCCTAACACAGTGCTTGACACAAGACAGACATTCACTAACAGAGGTGACGGTGGATGGTCAAACATGTGAATCAATCCCACCTTCGAAATGGTTGGAACCCTCTCCCCCTAAGCCAGACTGAAAAGGAGTTTGTACCCTCATGTAAGGCTTAAAAGGTAGTTGCCTGGCCCTCCCTATGCCTCATCTACATGTCTCTTCCAAATACAATGTTTACAGCCATCGGAGTCCAGTAGCTTCTGTACGCAGATCCATAACCCACACTCAGTGACAAATCACAAGTCCCAGGAGGTCAGGAACCAGCTTAGCTGTTCACAGTGGGGGAAGAGAGCAATGAGCCCTCTCCTGTTCTGAAGTCCCATCTCAGTCACAGTAGATGGAGTGGGAACGTGACCTCGTGCGCTGAGCCCCGGGTAGCCAGTGCGCCCTGGTCTGACATCCAGGCTGGCCTCTGTCTTGATTAGTCAGTCTCTGTGCTAATCTGGCATTTCTATATTGTGAATATTAGCCTTGTTTGTGGGCGTGGAGATACTCAAATCCACAGATGCCCAGAAACACCAGCAGCGTGTATGTACAGTCACATCTTTACTCAAAGGTGCACACGCAGTTACTTTCCTTGAGTTTAAAAGTAGAAGTCACATGAACTTGGAAAAAATAAACTGAGCTGATCTGGGGTGCGATAACGTATTAAGGAAGCATTTATCTGCTTCAAGTCTTTCTCTTGGCCTCCTAGTCTTTATGTCTTCATTCCTTTGGTTGTTAGTTCCCCAACACAGGCACGGCCTCCAAGAAATTCCAAACCCAGAAATACAGCGTCGAGTCATCATTTTCCAGATTGTAGGCACATACTGAGAAAGGTTCAATTTAAACATGAGGGCAGGGATTGGCAAAAGTTTTCTAGAAACGGTCTGATAGTAAATATTTTAGGCCTTCTGGGCCTTATGGTCTCTTTACAGTGACTCAACTGCTGTCCCAGCAGGGAAGTAGTCCTAGACAATAACAAACCAATGAGTACAATTATGTTCCAATAAAACTTTATTTGCAAAAACAGTCAGTGGGCCAGATTCAGCCCATGGGCCTTAGTTTGCCGACCCCCACACTAGAATCTAAAGAAGACAGAAGCCATCAAAACTGGCTTCACAGGTCTTCCAAACGTTGATAGGGGCTCCATTTTATCTCCTGCAGAAAGGACAAAAATCCACTGTTTTGGGTGTGGCATCAGTTTTCTTCTAATTATTTTGTGTTGTGCTTTGGTATTTTGATGTTCTTCTGAACGAGTTTTCTCAATCCCTCCTTTTTGTCTTTATTTTTCTCTTTCTGCATATATATCCCTAAATGCTTCCCATTCTTCTTCATTCTGTCCCCTTGCACCCACAGGGTTTGGAGATTTTAGAATGAGACTCTTTCACATCCATCCTTGCTAAAAATCCTGGTTTCATTCAGGTTCCTCATCTGTATTGGAGTACAGAGGCAATGTACAGCAAAGAACACTCATCTGGATCACTAGGTAGGACATACCACCACCTTGCTGTGTGACTTTGAGCCAATCACCTAACCTCTCTGAGCTTCCCTTTCCTCATCTGTCAAATGAGAGAGTTGGCTAACTGATCTCTAAAATCTCTTCTAGCTCTAAGCTTGAGATTTTAAGAAGCTGCAGCCTCAACTTGAGGCAGCTGTCAGGGGCCATTAATTACAGTGTCACTCACAGACCTTAATGAAACTGCCAGGAGGTCACAGAAATTAATCACATGATCTCTGGTACTTGGCAACCTTCACAGCTGAGGGGGTGGAGATACCAGCTAACCTGAGAGAATCTGAGAACCCAGCCCACTGACAAATGACTCCAGGACTCCTATGCTCCAGGAAAATTAACTTGCGTTCCTAAACGGCCATTGAAGTAGCTACAAAATGGGCACAAATATTGACTCGTTGGAAACAGGACCCTAGGGAGCTACAGTTGGAGGTAGGAGGCTTTCTCTTCTCCACCAGTCCCTCCTGTGTTGTATGGAGCTCTCCTGGCCACATAAAGGACACCTCTCAAAGCCCACCAAATAAATGTATGAGTAGGTCATGAGGAAATGGAAGCAAATTCCAGCATGTGCCAGAGGAAAGAGGCTTTCTCTGCAAGCAGAGGTGAGAGACCTCAGGGAGGATCAAGGAACCAGGACTCTGGCTGAGGCAGGGGCTGGTGGTGGTTGGCAGCTGAGGTGGGGGCCGTGGGGGGAATTTATACAGCATCATCCCCACTCTCTCAGGCTCCCCCAGCTCATAGCCCAGCGGCTCGTGGATGCAGCAGATGGGCAGGGGGCTGGCACCCTCCCCCGCTTTCTTGGACACAGTCTCAAGGGATGGGGAGGGAGTGGAGAAGCCCACATCCTGGCCTCCAGGAGAGCAGGCCTTTATTGTCTGACTCTGCTAAAGCTGCCTCATTTGTAGCCTAAATAATTCACTCACCAATCTCTCAAGGAGCATTAGAAGGAAAACAAAACCCAACCCAGCCCTCACACTCAGGTTCCCACTGCACCGAAGGCAGGCCAGGAGTCTGGGAGGCTGGGAGGCTGGGAGGCAGCCCCAACCTGCATAGAAGGCCTGCCTTCAAAGGTTCACTGGGACTGGCAACCTTCCAAAAACAGCCTGGGGTCTGGTTTTGTACAGCCCTGGAGCTAAGAATGGTTGTTACATTTTTAAAAGGCTTTTTAAAAAAACAAAATAAAACAAAACACAACAACAAAGAAAAACATGTCAGAGACTGTATATGGCCTGTAAAGCCTAAAATAATTGCTACCTGGCCCTTTCCAGAAAGTTTGCCAAACCCCTTTGTCCATTCTGCAGTCTTAAAGGAAGAGAAAGAGATGACAACCTCTGACCTACTCCTTTACTACCGCACTCCCTGACCCCACTATGTGCAGAGATTCAAAGTTGGCAGAGTTCTGATATTTACAATCGAGTGAGAAGCTGGCATCATTTTCTCCCCCATTACCCAAACCAGAACTAAACAAAAACAAGAAGAAAAACCTTCGAGTGGGGTGAACAGTCTTGGTTCTGCTGCTTGGGGAAGAAGAGAAAGAAGCAGGGAGGGGCTGAGATTCAGCCTCAGCCAATCATGGGGGTGGGGGTGTGTGTGTCAGAATTCAGCATTGTCCTGGTGGTCTCTACTGATACCCCTCCCTTCAGGCTCCACACCCTCCACACACACCCTGTGATTCTGGTGATCCCAGCTGATCCCAGCTGATCCTAGCAGTCACTGAGCCTATAATTCTTTTACTGATGAGATATCCAACTAGTCCCTGTCTCTGAGTCCCTGAAGCCTGTGTCGGTCTGACTCTGCCAACCCTCAATCCTGGACAGAGGCTCTATCCAGCCCTGCAAGGCCTCCCCTACTACCCAGCAGGGCCTTGGAAGGGAGAGGACTGTGACCAGCCCTGGAGTCCACCCAGAGCCTCTCCTGGAGCCAGAGCTTCTGAGAGTTCCATTCAGCTTAAGCACTCGGGAAGAGATGTGTCAGACTAGACACAATGGAGCTGCCAGCTCAGAGCGCCCCGGGTGTAACTGGGGTGAGTGATCTCTGGCTGTCATGGGGCCTGGTAGTAATTTGGGGGGCTGAGGGCAGAGTAGAGATCCAGTGGTCCCACATGCTGGCATATAAGTATTCTGGATTACTTCAGGTAACAGGGACCTGTTCTACAGTCTCCCAAGAAAAATGTTGCTGCTATCCTGCCAGTCCTTTGTAGGTTCCTGTTCTTGAGCTACAAATAATATGGAAGGCCCAAGTTGAATCCCATATCCAGGTTAAGCCAAAGGCCTTAGAGATTTGGAAGGCCAAACTGGAAGATCTGGGGCAAGTCATCTTACCTCTTTGGGACTCAGCTTCCTCATCTGTTAAAATAAGCAAATAAACAAAAACCTGAGGTCCTTGGATGGGGGTGATTTTAAGGTCCTATCCATCCCATTCCCAATGAATAGCCCAGACTAGGCCACACCTCTGCAGAGCTTTGCTGGAAAGTTGTCTAGCTTCACGTTGGCTTTCCTTCCCCAAGTCAACCCAGTCCCAAGCAAACCAGAGATACAGCTGGTCTCTCAGGGAGGAGAGGTTTTCCTTCGGCATGTTGGCAGCTTGCTGGGTGTTCGGACTGACATGAGGGAGGGAGGTGGCGGGTGGTGAATGTGACGTCTTGTCTTCGTGCCTTGTGGTGAGGGGGTGGCTGAAGGGCTGTGGGAGTCTCACCCTCGTACCCCCAACATGCCCACAGCATATGGTCCAGAAGCTGTACACAGTCCCATACCTTTAATGTCAATTAGCTCAATTGTCTTTCAACAACTCTCCAACTTGACTGGACATTCTTCAAGGGCAGGAATTGTATCTTGACCTTCTTCTGGGTCCCCCAAGAGAACCCAGCACAACACTAGGTATGTGGCCGGAGATCTGTCCTTATCTGCTGAGCAACTCAATTGAAATGCCCATGGAAAGAGTGATTCTGCACTTGGCACTGGGCGTGTGTCCAGGTAAGTGAATCTCCACTTTTGTTGGCTGATAACAATACCATTCTTCAGTCCATGGCTCGGTCAAGCTGTCCTGTCTAGGCCGTGACCCCAAGAACTATCGTGTGACCTAGAGAGCAGGCAATGGGAGAAGGCTGGAGAAGGGAATGCCCAAGACTCCCCAGGAGATATAGGTCATATGAAGGTCATTGATGCTGATCCCTTAGCCCTAAAGCAGTGCAGACTGGGAGAGCCTGGCTGGCTTGGCCTACACAAACATAAATCAGCACACCTCACCACTGCTTGCCTCAGAGTGGTGACCCAAACTGCAAGCACAGCGATCTATGGGCGACCAACCCAAACCTATAAAACAGTGACAAATGTCACAAGCCCTGTGGTGGGTCTCACTGTCTTCTGGTCTTAACCACACTCAGAATGGCTGTCTCCCTTGCCTGCTTGCAGATAGGAAGCTCGCCACTTTTTCTTGCTGTAGCTCCTTCTGTTCTGTGCTCTCCAAATATGTGGCTCTCTTCAGAGCCCTGAAGGCTGCCTTCTCTTCTCTGTTTACGTGTCTGCTTGTTTGCTCTGTATGGTGGTGGAAAGGGAGGGCAGGAGGCAGAGTTCTGCCTTGCCCCAAGTGTCACTCCTCTGTTCAAAGGGTGATGGCAGAACCATGCCACTGATTAGCTATGGCACCCATGGAATTGCTAACGAGTTTGATAAAATTTTAATTACCCCTTATTCCCTGGAGCAGGCAGCGAACCACGAAAGTAATAATCCTCTTGGGTGCCGTCGAAATAAGATAATAAAGTGAGTGGAAGATGGGTGTGCGCTGTAGGGAGTTAATCCTGGGGGTTGGGGCGGGGTCTGAGGCAGGGGTGGGTGGGCGGAGTGGCTCCCCCCCACCCCCCCTCACAGACGCCCCTCCAAATTATCTGGACCATTTCCTAATTCTCTACCTTGTTCTTATGGACCTGGCATTTTCTGGGAGACAAACTTACCCTAGGGAGAAGAGGAAACCAAGGCATATGGAGCATCAGGGATTAGCCCAGGACGCATCAGATTTCAAATCCTGAGGCCCTAACTCCAGTCCCCAGAGTGGAGACAGTCCAGAGGGACTGTCCAACCAGGCATGTGCCCACATAGTCATGGATCTCACCTTGGGACATGGATCTCCTAGACCCCCCGGCTCCTGCGCCCCCCTCTGTCCCACCCCATGTGAAGGGGGAAGAGTAGGGTGGGATGGAGTGGCCATCCCCGGATACCTTGGTGGTTTTGACTTTGTGCCCGCTGCTGCAGCTCCATCCTGACAGATCCGGGAGCACTTTGCACTCCTCCCCCGGCAGGCAGGGCTCCATCTGACACCACCACTTCTGCAGGACAATGGAGGCTGTGGGAGCAGGGGGCAGTGAGGGCAGCTCTAAGCCGTCCTCGAGGACAGAGTGCAGTCAAGGGCAGGAAGTCCATGGAGAATGAAGGGCGAGTTTGCACACCACTGGCTTTGGGTCCTGCATTCCCCTGTCTTCCCTGACTCCTGGCTGCCCAGAAAGGCAGTCTCGGGCTGAGGCTGGGGCACACACCATATCACATTCGATCCCACTGATCCCTACACGTCACCAAAGACAGCACGGAGAGAAGGCAGGGCAAGTTCTCGAAGGAGCCTTCCGGTCAGCAGAGGGGTACGATCTTCAACATTCCCACCTGGTGTATGTGAGCAAGTGCGCACCCCAGGCCAGGAGTGCAAAGCAGGCATGCGCGTGAGCACAAGTGGGCACGTTTATAGTCCTGCCACGTGAGTGTGAGCTCACGAGCACGGGTGGGATCGTGAGAGAGAGGTGGGTGTGAGTGACATATGTGTGTCCACGTGAAGGCCACCGAAGAATGAGAGGGGGGTGCATGTAAGAGGCCGGTGGAGGAGCAGGAGGTGAAGAGGTCAACGTCTGACGCCATGTTTGGGAGAGAAGATTCAAGTGACAGAATGTCTAGTGCTAGGCAGGGAGTGTGGATAAGAGGGAGGGCAGGCGCAGATCAGGACCTCTCCTTATCTATGAAGCGGGGATGGTCCCCATCTGCCCTCCTCCCCCCAGAGGTTACCCATCATTTGAGACTGATCCCGAAAGCCCTGGGCTGGTATGAAATTGCATCCCAAGCAGATGGTGCGGCCTGGACAGACCTTCTTATCTCTGTGATTGGGCCCTCCCCGCCGGGGCCCGGCCTCTCACTCACCGTCCACGCAGGAGGGCTTTGTCCGCGTGGTGCCGGCCACCTGGCCAGAAAAGCAAGAGCACTGGACAGTCTGGGAGCGCTCCTCGATGCGGTTCCGGTTGCAGCAGCGATGAGCAGCAATCACCTCGCAGGTGCCCTGTTTCACCAGGACTGGAGCGACCAGACAAGGTCAGGGGCCCAGCCCACACTGCCTGGCAGCCCTGCTCCCCTCCCACCTGCCCTGCTTGTTCTTGGGCCCTCCTCCCAGCCAAGGGGCGGGGTGTTCAAAGGATGGCCAACTGCAGGGGAGGAGGAGGAAACGAAATCCTCCTGCGCCCTCTCCTTCCTTCTGCCCCAGTTAGGCCACGCTCATCTCTCTTTGGCAGAGCCTGGCCCTTGGGCAGAAAAAAGGTGGAATTCCCCACCAGGCCCCACTTCCTCTGGCCTCTTCCGGGTGAGGGCAAGGGCCCTGGGGGCTTACATTGCGTGGGGAGGATCATCCGCTTACACAGGCTTTAGCCATCCCAGAAGGAAAACCACAGAATTAGGCCAGGAGGCTACACTTAAGCCTCCACCCCAGGGCCTCTCTCCCTGCAGAACACCTTCTGGCCTGGAAGGAAAGGTGAGCCACAGGTCTGCCCACACTTTCTCTGGGCTGGGATCGCAGAGTGGGGCAGATTTTCCTGGGTGAAAAACAGAGAAGGAGCCAGAACCCCTAGAATCTGCATCTTACCTGGCCTTGGAGATCTGCCTGCTGTGAAATGGGGTGGGGCGGTGCCCAGCTCTGCCGGCAACCTGGGAAACCCTCCCCCAGGCTCTGCCTCCTCGCTCAAACCTGTGGGAGTTGGCTGCAAGGCAGCTGAGGCAAGGCGGGTCCACAGGCAGGCCAGGGAAAGTACCAGCAGCCAGTGGCCCGTACTCCAGTTCTGAGAGGTCCTCTCACGCATCCTGTCGAGAGAAGCACACAGCCGGCTCAAGGCTGAGCAGGAGCTCCCCAGCACCCGGCCCCAGCACCATGCGCTCTGGGAGGCCCAGAGGTGGGCAGGATGCACACCTCATCCCTAGGGGCTCTCCGCCTGGCACAAGCTCACCATACAAAGTGTGAGTGCCGTGGTAGGAAAGGGAGCAGGGAGACTGCCTGGTCGGGAAAGCCACAGACAGCTTTGTAGGGGAGATGCCATTTAAGAGGGTCTTTTTTTTTTTTTTTTTAAGATTTTATTTATTTATTTGACACAGAGAGAGAGACAGTGAGAGAGGGAACACAAGCAGGGGGAGTGGGAGAGGGAGAAGCAGGCTTACCGCGGAGCAGGGAGCCCGATGCGGGGCTCGATCCCAGGACCCTGGGATCATGACCTGAGCCGAAGGCAGCTGCTTAATGACTGAGCCACCCAGGCGCCCCCTAAGAGAGTCTTGAAGGATGAACCCAACATGGTCCCTTGGAGGGCTGTGCCATGGGAGGAACAATATTGCTGACCCCCATTTGTTGAGCACTTGACCCAGGCACGTCACATACATGCTCTTGCGGCTCTCATAACTGTCCTACAAAGTGGGATTATTTGTACCCACAGATGAGCAAACTGATCCTCAAAAAGCCTGGCAACAACTTAAACAAGCACCAATAAAGGACTGGCTAAATACATCCGTGGAGCATCTGTGCAAATGCAGTTACATCCAGGCCGCTGTAAAATAGAAGGAGGAAATGCTTTACGTACTGAGGCGTGCAAAGATCTCTAACGATAAGCCACCATTAAAGGGAAAACAAACAAACAAACACAAAGTGCAGGATGGTGTGTAGAAAATGCGTAAAAGGGAGGGATTATATATGTTGCTTAAATATGCATAAGCTAGCTCTGGAAAACGTACCAAAGAAAACCTAGTAACACTGATTGCCACCAAGAAGGGGAACCGGTTCACTCAGAGATGGGGGTAGAAGGGAGACTTAATCTTTCTCCCTGTTGCTTTTTACTGGGGGGAGGAGGGTTGAACTGAACTATAGGAATGTAATAGCAATTCAATTTTAACAAATTTAAATTTAGAAAAGAAGAAACGACACCAGGGCTAATAGAAGTCAAATGACTGCCCCAGGCCAGGGAGCACGTGGGTGGCAGAGCCCAAAGCCCAGAAGCCTGTCCTATTCCTACCCCACTACTTTGGCTTCTCCTTGGTTCTCTTCCTCTATCCTTGATGGGTCAGGCCTCCCATCTATCTCAGAGGACGAGCTAGAAACAGAGGGGATTCCAAGGAAGAAGAGGCAGAGAGCAGCAGGGGGCTGCCCAGGCATACCAGGAGTCTGGACCACCTCCCCTCGGCTGCACGACTGGCCCCTTGGGACATCGCTGGAGTCCCTCAGGCGTCAGCAGTCCTGGGAACACCAGAGACCAAACCAAATGCCGGGGCCTTGGATAGGGTGCTTAATCTCTGTCACCACCACCCGCCCTCAACTGTCACCCCTTCAGCTTTCTCCTCACTCACCTTTTTGGGGATCTTTCAGCTTCTGTCTGTTCATCCACAGGCCTCAGATTCACCCCACCTAGACAAGTAGGAAAGATTCTTGGGGGGTTGCCAGGGACAGAGGGAGTCCATGGCCCTGCAGAAGCGAGGGAGAGCCTGGGTGAGGACAAAAGGTACAATGGAGTAGAGCCCAATTCTGAAGCTGTTCTTCAAGGTGCAGGGTGGGGGGCGGAGGCTGTCCTCTGCCTTGCAGACTCTGCGAACACACAGGGCAGCTAGCCCGGGAAGAGTAGCCTGAGGGTTCCTCTGTCCCAGGAGTGAAGCAGGGCCGATAGTGGGGACGTGTCTAGTAATCCACGCTATCAGGGTTCTGGCCTTGGGAGGGAGCTGAAGGCCAGGGAAGGATTCCTGAGCAGGATCTGACAAAATGCGCTCCAAGAGGCCCCTGGAAAGGACCCTGAGGTCTTGAATCCTTTTGCCTCCACCTCCTACCCCCACTGCACCTGGGTCCCGGACTGGAGCAGAGCTGGCTCCATTCTGCCACCCTCACCCCCATTTCCAGTCCGGAGGGCTAGAATGGGGCGCCTCCCGGTCCCTAGCCTCAGGGGCTCCAGCCCAACAGCTTCTCCATTTCTCCCGACGACCTCTCTTCCCTCAGCCTCCAAAGGGAGGTAGAGCTGAAGCATGAAGCAGGTAGGATGGTGGGGCCCAGAGAGGACTAGGCAGACAGACGCAGGAAGTGGTGCCAATACCGCACAGATGGGAGTGTTCCACGGGCAAGAGCTTCCCAGCCTTCTAGATGTATCTCTTTTCTGAGTAGGTATCTCCTCTCCCTGTCCCCTTCAGGAACCTTCATTTCGATCATTTCAAATACAGCTCTGTCTTCTCTCAGGCAGTCCTCATCCCTTTTCCCTCTGAGCTGCCACACCCGCCAACCCAGCTCTCCCATGAACCCCAAGACCCAAAAAATGGGGGGTGTGCTTTTGGGCTGAGTCCTCAGGCATTCTATTCCCTACCTCAGGGAGAAGGGGAAAAGGAAGCTTCTGGGGTTTGTTCTGGGGTTCCACACTCCTGCCTCAGTTTACCAGCCGATTTTCCCCAAACCTAGATGCAAGGTATGGGGAAGCTGAGTTAGCAGACGGCATACCAGCGTGGAGTTGAGGATGTGGACCGCGAGAAGCTTTAAGTTTCCCTGCCTTCTCCCGGCCCCCTCCGGCGCCCACTCATTGCTCCAAATTTCTGAGCCCCCAGCCGCAGGATCTACCCGCCCCACGGCGGTGCCCACTTACCTCTGAGTCCCGCACCAAGACTCCGAAAGGCGGACTTCAGGAGGGAGCAGCCGGCTCGGGTGCTGTCAAGTCAGGAGCCCCGTGTCCCTCACCAAGTTGCCGCCGGGTCCCCGAGGCGGCGGGGCTTCGGCCAAACTGGCATCACGGTCTTGCCCGACCCCGCCCTGGGCACGGGGAACTCCTGGCCCGCCCGGCCAGCTCTGCAAGGCTCAGCCGGGGTGTTTCTGAGGCTCCCGCCGGCAGGCCAGGGAGCGCGCAGCCGCCGCCGCCTCCCTGTCGCCGGGGGCCGTCCCCGCTCCGCTAGCCCCCGCCGCCTCCTCCCGGACAGCTCCGGGCGCCGCGCAGTGCGCTCGGCGGGGCGGGCGGGCACAGACGCGCGCAGCGGCCCCTGGCGGCCGAGGCCAGAAGAGCGAGGAGACGCCTGCCGGTCCCGCCGTGCTGTCCGCAGTCCGGGCGAACGTCTCCCTGGTGCAGGCCGGGCTAACCCAAAGAGGTCCTTCAAAACTCTCCGCCTTGTGGCTTCTGGGGTGGGAGGGGGCTGCGTGTGAGGAGGGATTGCCAAGACCCCCAAGGGTTTGGAGTCTTGAAGATTCTAGAACTGCACTATCCAGTAGGATAGCCACTAGTCGTATGTGGTTATTTAAGTTTAAATACAAATTAAATAAAATCTAAAAATTGTTTTTTATTTGCTGTTGACATCCCCACTGACCATTTGGTGCTGGAGCTAGGGATCTTTCTGTCCTGGCTCTGTGGCCTAATTGTAGCCACATCATGGTGGGTGCGGTGAAGAGCAGGTATTAGGGAGCAGGGTGACACAGAGAAGTGGTAAGCCAACTGCCCCAGAAACACTGAGTAATAAAAATAGCCAGGATGTTATATTTTTTCATCAGTCTTGGCTTGCTGTTGTTGTTTATGCCATTTATCTGAGAGCTGGTTCCAGTTTTTCTTAAACAGGAGGGAAATACCCATAGCAGCAGCATGGTCCTTCCTCCGTTTGCCTTTGCCACTCTATGGGCCTTTGGATCTGATTTTTCTTTTCTTGTGACTTCTATTTTTCTGGCTGTCTCTGCCTGAAATGTAGGTATAATTACAGCAAGCCTAAAGACCTGAACAAAGGGTCACCTGAGTGGCTCATTCGGTTAAGCATCTGCCTTTGGCTCAGGTCATGATCTCAGGGTCCTGGGATCAAGCTGGGCATTGGGCTCTCTGCTCAGTGGGGAGTCTGCTTCTCCCTCTCCCTCTGCACCTCCCCTCCCCCCAGCTCATGTTCTCTCTCTCTGTCTCAAATAAATAAATAAATATATATATATATATTAAAAAAATACCTGAATAACCAGTGTGCGATTTTTATTTGGAAGCGGCGAGGAAAGCCACCCGTTCTGGGGGCACATTTTAGCTCAGGAACAGAGAGGGTTATGTTCAGGGAGCATTCTGCCCACAGAGCCCAAAGATGGAGTCCCAACCATGAACTCGGTGCCAGTGATTCCTGAGGGCTACCCTGACTTGCATTAGGGCCACAGGGCTTTGTCCCCATTTGGACAGTGCCTGGGGTAGGAGGTGTCTCTGGAGATGTACTGATCAATTCCCTGATAGCTGCCTTAGGAACAGGTCTCTTTGGACTCAGCACCACTTCTCCCTTACAAGCAAGCGCTTAGCCTGGCCTCTGTCTCCCCCTGGCGGTGCCTACGGATCTTGTTCAGCCTGCAGGCTCAGCCTCTGCCTTCAGAGGAGGAAGGTCAAAGAGGGGTAACCCTCACTCTTCTCTCTGCCATTCACCTCCTCCTTAGCCCCTCCTCCACGATCCCGACAAATCAGCTTGGCTCATCAGACAGAACGGAGTTTGGGCGTTTGGGGACTGGCACGAGTGTGAGTCTCTCGTTGGCTGTGTGACCTCTTGCGGCAAGTCCTGTAAAATGACAGGCGCGTCATCGGTAAAAAGAACATAAAACCCACCTTGAAGGGCTGCTATTTGGTATAAATGGTCTAATATATGGCAAGTGCTTTGTAGCGGGCCTACTATATAGTAAGTCCGAACACTTATTGTTGTTATCCTTATTAACTAGCCCTGCTGTGGTCAGGGGAGGCCTAAATGTGGAGGGAAATTGGGTCCTGAGAAGGAAAGTGGAGTCAGAGTGGCAACCGCTCTCCCAGATCTAGAGGTGGTCGTCGATGGGGAACAGCGCCGTCAGGAGCCCAAGAACTTACCCCCGGCTCCCTAATTCAGGATGGTCGGCTCCAGCCCGCGTCCTCAGCACCCTCACAGCACACCCAGCACCAGCCCCTCGCCGTCGCTCTCACTCCAGCAGCCTCAGCCAGAGGTATTGTCACACCAGGTGCCTCACACCCAGCGGTGGCGGAAGCTGCCGGTTTCGCTCTGAAGTCACCAGTTCCATCACCCTCCTGGCTGAACCGAGGGCGAGGAGACACTACCCCCGCCCCCCTTTCACAATGGGGAAGGTCTAGCTGATGTCTCATCTAGAGCACGTATGAAATAGGATGTGCTTCCCTCGGTCCCCTTCCCACAACAGCAGACCCTTCTTCCCCAAAGAAACTGAGGCGGAGCGAAGCCTGAACGCGGCGGGAAGAGCAGCGAGCTGGTGGGGCGGTGCCGGGGGCGGCCCAGAGCAGGAGGAAGTTTTGCCGCGACCCGCCCTGCCCGCCCAGAGCCAATGGACGGGAAGAGCCCGCAGGAGCGAGCACCGCCCACCGCGCGCCCTAGGGGCGGGGCCGCCTCGGGGCGGGGCCACGGCCGAGGGCGGGGCAGGGAGGCAGCATGCTAAACCGGGTGCGCTCGGCCGTGGCGCACCTGGTGAGCTCTGGGGGCGCCCCGCCTCCGCGCCCCAAGTCCCCAGATCTGCCCAACGCGCCCTTGGCGCAGACCGCCGCTCCTCCAGAAGCGCCCAGGAGCCCTCCGGCGAGGGCTGAGAGCGCAGCGCCGGCGAAGACAGTAGAGGCTCGAGCGAGCTTCTCCCGACCGACCTTCCTGCAGCTGAGCCCAGGGGGGCTGCGACGCGCCGACGACCACGCTGGCCGGGCTGTGCAAAGCCCCCCGGACACCGGCCGTCGCCTGCCCTGGAGCACGGGCTACGCCGAGTGAGCGCCCCCGGGAAGACCCTGGGCAGGATGGGACCCCCAGCCCCCAGCCCCTTCCCCAGCTGGGCATCCCCGGCGCTGGGCTGCGTGCCCCTCGCCGTGCGCGGCGCGAGGAGTTCCCTTCTCCCAGGACCTTTGCTTTCCTTTGGGCTTCGGGCCGCAGCGACCCCCCCCCCCCCCGCCCCCTTAAGCCCTTTCTCAAGTCGGTGCAGTCTTCCTCAGGCCCTTTCAGCTCGTTGACTACTCTCACCCGCGCTGCCTCAGGACCTTGTTCCCTTCCAGAGCCCGGAGGGTGGAGGGCCCCGTGGAGGATGAGTTGGCCAGTTCTCAGTCGGGGCCCGGCAGTTTAATGGCTAAGGGAGGCGGGGATTCAAGGAGGGGGGGGTGCCCTTTTAATAGAGGAGATGGCGGCTGGAGAAACTCGCTCCTGGGCTTCCCGACCCCAGCGCCCCAGTTCTCTGTCCCTCTTACCGTTCCCCTCCCCCTCCACACCCAGAAATAGCCGGCGACACCAGGCGGCCTCCGGCTTCCCCAGGGGCGAGGGAGGGCGCCGCCCGGGGAAGCAGGAGGGTCCCCTTTGAATGCCTCTCGGAGGGAGGGCATGGCACTGGCCTCGCAAAGAAGTGGACGCCCGGTCGTAGTGGGGAGCCGCCGGCTGACCCCCAGGCCGCGTGTATTTTTAATGTATCTACTGGGAAAGCAGAGCACTGAGGGAGATGGGGGCGCTGAGGTCGCTGAGGGTGGTGGCTGGTAGACCCCGGGCCCCACCACTAGCTCCTTTAGCTTTCTGTTTGAGAAGAGTTGGTGGTTCTGTGGCTCCTGCGCAGTCCAGGTGGGCTTCCACCCCTACCCTATTTCAATTCCTGTTTCCCTGTCTGGGCTCGAGCACTTCCTCACTGCCAAAGCAGCAGAAACTTTCACTGGATGATTTTAAGATAAAGGTGGGTGTGCCCATGAGGGTGGGGTGCTGTGGAGGAGGCACTAGAAAAGTTGATTAGGCTCCAGGGTGGGATGGAGGGTCTTGGCAAGCAGGGTGGTTAAGATCTCCTGCTGCCCCTGCCCAGCCCCTTCCCCAGCAGCCCGTGGGGGTGCGCCCTTTGCCAGGGACCGGGGAACCGAGGCAGGAACAAGCTGCTGCTGGCCTTTCTGTGAGGTGGTGGGGCCTGACGCCCAGATGGTATTCCTTGTGCCTTGCCCTGCCTCCCTTCTCCTCCTCTTTCTGGCCTGGATCCCAGGTGGCTATGACCTTTCTAGGTTTGGCCAGCAGGCTAGAGAGGGTGTGTGTGTCTAAGGTGGGGGTTATTCCAGGACCTGGCCTGGTGTCCAACCTGATGTGGTCACTCTGGCCTGGCAGGGTCATCAACGCTGGCAAAAGTCGGCACAATGAGGACCAGGCTTGCTGTGAGGTGGTGTATGTGGAAGGTCGGAGGAGTGTTTCAGGGGCGCCTAGGGAGCCTAGCCAAGGCCAGGTAAGCCCCCACCCCCTTCCCTCGCCTCCAGAGATGGTGACACCTCTCCCCGCGGATTCTAGGCATCCAGTTATAAATCTCAGACCTAACTCCTCACCCAACTAGCTTTCTACCTCTGGCACAGAAGCTTCTACCTCTGGCACAGAACTGACATTGACCAGTTAGAATGTCAGGATAAATGTTCCATTTACCAGTTAGAATGTAGGTGCTCCTGTATTTATGGTTGATTTAATTCATTGCCAATGTTTATTTTTGTATCTTTTATCCTCCGAGTTTGGCTTTTTTTGATGCTTTACTTTCTGACACATAATAGGCCCTTGGTAAATGAGTGAATAAATCTAATTTGCCTTTCATACCAAAGTCTGACCTCCTCTCTGATGTTTGTATGGTTGCCTAGAGTCTTGCTCTTCTCCTTGTATCACACACACACACACACACACACACACACACACACACACACACTCTCTCCCTCATTCACCTCCAACTTTTCCTCCACCAGGGACTCTGCTTCTACTACTGGGGCCTGTTTGATGGGCATGCAGGGGGCGGAGCTGCCGAAATGGCCTCCAGGCTCCTGCACCGCCACATCCGGGAGCAGCTAAAGGACCTGGTAGAGATACTCCAGGACCCCTCGCCACCTCCCCTCTGCCTCCCGTCTACCCCAGGAGCCCCAGGTTCCTCTGATTCTTCTCACTTGGTTGGTCCTCAGTCCTGCTGGTCTTCACAGAAGGAAGTGACCCATGAGAGCCTGGTAGTGGGGGCCATAGAGAATGCCTTCCAGTTCATGGTGAGTGGGTGGTCCCCGGGCAGGAACCTGCTAGGCAGATACTCTGGTCAACTCTGTACGGGAATCAAATAGCCTAAGGGGCCCTGAGTACCCACAACACCTTTGAGGGCCTGAGCAGAGCTTGGTTCAGAGGGGAGGGAAGGGGGAGTTATACCCATGTCTGCCCTCCCCTCCTCCAGTGTGGCTTGGCTGGGCCAGTTTATTTCTGCAGATGGGGGCAGTGGTTGTGGGCCTGGAACCTGTTCTTCATTCACCCCCTCTGACCCTTCCTCACATGGCAGGATGAGCAGATGGCCCGGGAGCGGCATGGCCACCAAGTGGAGGGGGGCTGCTGTGCACTGGTTGTGGTCTACTTGCTAGGCAAGGTGTATGTGGCCAATGCAGGGGACAGCAGGTATGGGGAGGGGGGAGGGGGTCACCCTCTGGGATGGGGGAATAGAAGAGAATGAGGTGGTGGGTGTTACAAATCAAAAACTGGAGGGAGGGATGGTGTCAGGAGCGGTCACAGACATAAGGGATGGCCAGAAATAGCCACAAGGGGAGGAAAGATGGGGGTCTGGGTGAGGAACCCCAAGGGTCATTGTGGGGAAGCCCTGGTCTTTCTGGAATTCTCCACAAGGGGGCTGAGGAGAGCCCAGCCCAAACCTTTTCTTTCTCTGGGCAGAGCCATCATTGTCCGGAATGGTGAAATCATTCCCATGTCCCGCGAGTTCACCCCGGAGACTGAGCGCCAGCGTCTTCAGCTGCTTGTAAGTAGGAACTAACCTTCCTGCTCCCGTTCTTTGTTGACTCTCGTGGCTCTCTGTGGCTTGTGGCCCCACCCTCACCACCCAGACCGCTCCTTACTGGCTGCTCACTGGGAAGGCTGCTCTGCTCAGCAGCAATGGCTGAGCTGGTAGAGTACGTAGCAGGAAGGAATGTGGGCTACTCCAGGGCTCCCACTGGGGCTCCCACTGTGGCCCCCGCTGAGGAAGGAAGTGGAGTCAGAGGCGGGGAAAGGAAGTAGCCAAGGCCCCTGAGAGGCAGTATGGTTTAGTGCTTTAAAGTACTGACTCTGGAGCTGGACTGCCTGGGACTGAATCCTGGTTCGAGCCCTTTGCTCATTGTTTGACGTGCAGATGGTTCCCTTAAGTGGCATCAGTAGCTCCTGCCTTAAGGGTTGTCCTGAGGTTCGGCGAGTTCACATACATTATTCGTATTAGAACAGTGCATGGCACATGGTAAAGAAACCCCATTTAAGGCCCTGCTGTAATTAACCTCATCTGTACGGCAGGGTGTGCTCTAAGCCTAATGCCCCCCTGGCCCTCTGCTCTGTCCGGCCACTCCCAACCGCAGGGCTTCCTGAAACCAGAGCTGCTAGGTGGTGAATTCACCCACCTTGAGTTCCCCCGCAGAATTCAGCCCAAGGAGCTGGGGCAGAGGATGCTGTACCGGGACCAGAACATGACCGGCTGGTAACACTTCCTTCAGAGCTGGGGCCCGTTCCCATGGCAGCACAACCAGTCCCTCACCAGCAGCAAGGTGGAAGCTGGAGGCGGGGCCAGTCTGGGGGCTGGGGGCATGTGGTCCTTCTTAGGGGTTTGTGTGAGGGGCATGGCTCCTCCGGGAGAGGGGCTTTGATGCCTGGGTGATGCGTCCTCTGCTCCCCCCCTCCCCAGGGCCTACAAAAAGATCGAGCTGGAGGATCTCAGGTTTCCTCTGGTCTGTGGGGAGGGCAAAAAGGTAAACTCCATGGTAGAGGTGGGAGAGGGCAGGAGGACCCACCACAACCTGTCTAGGGAGGTGGAGGTTCTACCCCAGGGCAGGGGTGGGAGGGCCCACAGCTTCAGAGACTGGGAGAGGGCCGTGGCAGCACCCGTACTCATTCCCTTTAGGCTCGAGTGATGGCCACCATTGGAGTGACCCGGGGCTTGGGAGACCACAACCTCAAGGTCTGCAGCTCCACTCTGCCCATCAAGCCCTTCCTCTCCTGCTTCCCTGAGGTGAGCCGTATGGGGGCTTCCTCAACTATACCTTCCCTCTGGGGGCCCCGGGCTGGCTTTCTCCCAGGGTCCCTTTGTCCCCCAGCTCCTTCTCCACTCTCTTCTCCCCACCAGGTGCGAGTGTATGACCTGAGGCAGTACGAGCACTGCCCAGATGACGTGCTAGTCCTGGGAACAGATGGACTGTGGGATGTGACCAGTGACTGGGAGGTAGCTGCCACTGTGGACAGGGTGCTTTCAGCCTATGAGCCCAATGACGCCAGCAGGTAGGGCTCGTATGGCGGTGGGGGCGGGGGTGACAGTGGGGAAGGTAGGGGCAAAGGGAAGCAATGCTGGGGGCCCCACATGAGGGCCTGTGTATCGCTCTTCCCATATACATGTTGGAACATGAATGTGCACGTGTGCTTCTGGCAGGTACACAGC